AGCCTCTCCTCTTAAGTCCTTTACTTTTAGTGCTTGACATTCATTGCAAATTAAGATCTTTCAATCCAGAAATGGTGCTTTTCTGAGTCTTGCACAGTGTTGCACTGGGAAATTTTACATATCAGTGTTTGAATTTGCTTTCAGTTGTTACTGCTCTGTTAAACATAATTTTCTATTTCATCTTTCTTTAACAATCTCCTTTTCCAGAATGCTATACTGCATACATTCTCTGAATGACTGGTTATTCTTATGGGGTGTTTTTGTGTCCTTTTATGGGTTTTATTTGTGTCCATGGTGATATTCCTGCCAGAAACTAGGGTTTGGGGGATTATTTCCACTATACCTCAATAAAATAAGTCCTCTTGCCTTCTTATTGAGATGTGAGAGGCTTCCTGTACACTAACAAGTAGTGTGGCCCTTTAAGAATAAATCTGTAGATGAAACTATCAGTACCAGGGACCCAAAGTCTATGCTGAAAGTGTTTCACAGGGTTTTATTTATGGCAAGCCTCTGGACTTGCCTCAAGGCTAGCCTCAAGTTCTGAAAGCCTCAGTAACTTAGATATGCTTATGGAAAGCATCTTTGCACTAGGTTTCCTCTCAAAGTAGTCCAGTTAATGCACCTCAAGATCATTCCATCATCTGGGCTAAAGCTAAGTGAGTGGAGGCCATCAAGAGAAGTGCTTAGAAGTGCACCTGAATTAGACACACACACACAGTTAGGCTTCCTCAGTACAATTTAGCACAGAGATCTAATGCAAATACTCTGACACACCTTCTGGAGGAAACTCCAGTGACCACATAAGGAACCTGCAGACACCTGCTAGCTTAGACTGATGTTTAGGACCTGGTAACAAACTTACACAATGAGGTGCAGTACAAAGACCTGTGAACTAACCCCAGCCCAAACTGATGCACTCATGTTGTGTATCACTAAGAAGTGTTTCCTGTGACCAGGCAGTGTCCTTCACTGGTTTGCTTTTAAGCTTCTCATCTTTTTAATACTACGTGTACTTAGAGCCACAGGCCAATTTTTATTTAGGTAATGAAACTTTATTATTTTTTTTGGAAAGTACCTCTGATTTCAGGCTCTTCTTCTTCCTAGTCTGACTGTCACTTCTCTCCTCTTTCCTTACCACCAGATGCAGAATTACTGTCATCCCTAACAGATGTCTTGGCTTGACCTCAGTGTTCCTTAGCAACTGTCACTTTTCCCCTGTTCCTAGTTTAAAATAGCCATGCAAGACAAGGTTTTATGAAGTTTAGATGCAGCTGCTTGTTTCCAGTTTGGTTAAAGTGGAAGCCGTTCTTCTGCATAGACTCTCCTTTCTGCACAATGTTCCTCTTTGTCTTATACTCTTCAATTCTTCCTCCTCACGGCAGCTTCTTGGTCGCCCTTGGCTTTGTGAAGGGAACTAGAAGTACTTCAGAGAGAGAGATCCACAAGACCTAAGTGGAACTCAGTAGGCCTCATTAGTAAACTTCAGTGTGAGAGCTGACCCTGTGGGGAGAAGCACTTAGTTAACTGACAAGGATTGCAGTACTGAGCATTTTTTATTCTGTGTGGGAATGCAAGCTGACAGTTCTTCACATTTTTAGGAAACTACAGTGCACCAGAAGGTCTAGCTCCTTATTGACTAGGTGAGGTTTATGGTTCAGAACTGGCTTGCTTTTTCCACTCACCCTTTCTTACATCAGAGACTACCTTGCATCCGCAAAACATTCCTGAGAAAAAACCTGTCAAAATCGAGTCTTCTCACGGTCTTTGAGTTTTGATTAAGAAGAGAAAGCATTTATGAAAAACCACTCAGACTGCCTTTCCAGAATGTAATTTCCTGAAGTGGGTTCCTTGACCCTGCACCTGCACAGCATGTGTCTGAAGACCGCTGGAAGTGTCTTCTGACAACTGTCACACAATGAAGTCACTAGGCATTTGTTGTGATCCCCAAATAACCTGCTCTTGAAGCTCTTAATGACCAAATCCCTTCTGTCACCACAGATCTGTATGTTTCGGAACTATCACTCCATTTTCTGTTGCTGATCTTCTGTTGAATAGTTTACACTGATATTTTAATTTGTGACAGGGTATTAGGTTTACTTATGCTTTTGCCTGTAAGAACCTTTCCAGGAAAAAGACAAGTGCTCAACTTTTAAAACAGGTATGAGTTCTCTTCTGACCTTTTGTACTTTATTTCTTAATAGGCAGAAAAAAACTTCGACTGTTTGAGTACCTCCATGAGTCCCTGTATGATCCAGCAATGGCAAACTGCATCCAGTGGGTAGATAAGCCCAATGGTGTCTTCCAGTTTGTCTCCAAAAACAAGGAGAAACTAGCAGAACTGTGGGGAGAAAGAAAGGGAAACCGCAAGATCATGACATATCAGAAAATGGCCAGAGCACTGAGGAATTACGGAAGGACAGGTGAAATAATTAAAATTCGAAGGAAGTTGACGTACCAGTTCAGTGCTGTTGTTTTGCAGAGACTTGCTCCATCTTACTTCTTGGGAAAAGAAACAGTTTGCCATCCCTATATTCAGTCCAATCAAGAATATCAGTGTGCAGATGACTGGATTAGTTACAATAATTACATGTATAACAACAGTTATGCATTACAGCATGCTAAACAGCTGGACATGTCTTTCACATAAGCAGGACTTTATGAGATAGTAATGAGTCCCATCACATAGGTTTTTCTTTAAGATATTGTAAACACATACAGAGGAGAGTTTTAAAAATTACATTGGCCTAGTTTTGTTACTTTTAAAGTTAATTATAAATAGTCATTGACTGTTGAAGAAAACCAGCAGCTATAGGGCACATTCTAATTTCCATTACTTCAATCAGAGGAATTAACTCAGATTCAAGCTGGTATATCCAAGATCAAGATCAAAGCTTTTGTCTGTTAGTGGACATCAAAGATCCTATCCTGACAACTCTCACTGAAAGTTATATGCATGTGCCTAACATTTCCAGTCAGAATTTAGATGGTGTTATACCATAGCACATGCACTCCCTAATCAGCTGGGTGCATGGGAATTAAAAAGGGAAGAGATTTGCCAACTGCATGAAGCTACTGTCTGCTTTTTTCATCAGTGTTCTTTGTTATGAGACATACTCTGAATGAATGCCTGGCTGAAGGATTGAGTCCACATGAAGGTGCACCTGTTGGCCAAGTTGTTAATCCTTAATCACTTAAATTAACAAATCTTAGCACATATCCTGACATATGGTATTAGCATTGCCAGGTGCACATTTCAGTGCTGGCAGTGGTTTCATTAGGAAAGTGGCCATACTGTGAGAGGGTTAGTAAAGGATTATGCTTTTCATGAAGTTCTTCCTCCACTAATATGAGAAGCTGCACTTCTATCCAGCAGTTCTGTACTCACCTAACAAATATAACTTTGTTATTTGTAACCGTCTTTGGAGTTACAGCTTTATACATTTAAATATAAATTCACTTCTCCAGTTCTTTTCCTATATGGGAATGTAGCCAAAAGGCTCAGTGATTTTACACTCTACAGGGAAGAAGGACTAAGTCTAGGTAAAATGAGAATGCTAGCCCCTTATGCCAGGATGATACCCATAAATCCATGTTTTCTCATACTTAAGTTGCCTGATAGACTTTTATCACCATATGCGTTGGTTGTTATGCCAAAATCCTTCCATTCAATTGCATTAAATTCCAAGTTCTGTATTTTGCTTCAAGTGAGTGCAGGCCCAGATATTAATAAAGAGAAAACTAATTTCTATGCAGAGTTATAAAGGGTGGCCTAAGATGTTCGATGAAATTCACTCACTTTGCTAGTTACCCCTTGTCCCTTCTTACTTGCACAGGGATATAATTTTATGTAATAAACACAATGCAACACACTCAGCTCCAGCAAAATTCAAGGTTTTGAGTTAGTTCTTTGTTAAAATTAAAGATGTGTACTCTGAGAAATCTGAAACATATTAAATAGCACTAAAAACAGTAGCAAATTTCAAGTCAGTGAATACCTGCCAAAATAAGAAGGTCATAACCTGTCTTGTTACTATGTCATTTTTAGTATAGTGTCCTGTAAAATACAAACATAACTACAAAATAGATACAAGAGTACTTCTGGCCTTACAGAACTGAATCTGGATCTTCCTGTAACACGGAAAGCAGTGAAAATTAAACACTTAAAAAGGACTGAGGTCTTTCACTTAGGATGCCTTCACTGTGTGAGCACATATGTAAAGACAACATTTCAAATGTCACAATGTACATAAGTTATCCAAGAATCTGCACAGAATATTTACAAGGCTGGTAACACACACTGGGTTAAGAGTCTGTTTTGTGTAAAATGCTTACTTTATCAATATGCTTAGATTTACTATCCTCAGCCTCATCTACTTGTTAAGGAAATAAATAATTATTCAGAATCTGTGTTACCTTTCTGACTTAGGTATAAACATTAGCATTTGCCTCCTGGAAAACTGGTAATCAGGTGAGATGTTAGAGCTGCATCTGTAAATACAGTACAGAACTGAAAGAGAAGAGCACAAGGGTTAAGAAGAACTGAAGGAAATTCAAGCAAAGAAGAAATGAGGAAATAATTATATCTGTGGCTAGGAAGAGACAGATATCAGTCACAAGAGTAGCCATGGGGACTGACCGTAGTAGAAAGAGATTTCTTTGAAAAAAGGTAGCCCCTACCTTTCTGCCCACCCCAGCCAAATGTACCTGGAGAGATTTTAGGAGCACCTAATGTAGTTCTGGGGCTGTACAGAAGGACATTTACTGTGCAATGCACTGATATTAAGCTTACATATAGAAAAGATTCTTGGCTGCTAGCAATGTTTTAACCTAGCAAAGATACCTTAAATCATAAGTAAAAGCACAAGATGACCAAATACCTGAGGCTCAGATTTAGACTTCCTGAGGTCTGAAATAAGGTCTATCTTTCTAACTGTGTTTAACCACTGAAACAACACGCCAGGGGATGTGGATTATTTCTCAACATCTTTAACCTGAGATGATATAAATTTCTAAGACGTACAGTACTGCAATAAAGTCATAGCCATACCATGAAGACATAAGACTGCAGGAAACTGGACTCCTGCTAGACTTGGTGTTTGCAGGAACTTGTAATGTAACTCTGACTAGGAAATTCAAGGCTACATGTGGAGACAAGTCTCCTTTCTCATCCCTTGTGCTGATTTTGCAGCCTGTTTTCTGTTCAGACTTGGCAGACAAGATCAGAGGGTCCCAGGTGAGTGCTGGGCTGATGCCTCTCCCCAGAACACAACTCTTGTTTGCCCAAGAGACCTCAGGGAGGGAGGGTATCACGTGTACCTGCTGGTCTCCAGCGTTGTCTTCTGATGGAAGGTCACTGTGCTGCAAGCCAATGTTGGCCTGAGTTGAGGCTGTACTTTGCAGGATAGAGCTGTGTCTCTGGCTCGGGGGTGGCCCTGAGCCCACAAGATGGCACTCAAGGACAGCTATTCCCACCGAATTGGTGACATTCCAGGCCTCCTGATTATCTGTTCTCTGCACTTCTCTTTTGTTGTTGGTTTGGGTTTTTTTTTCCTTCTTTTTCTCCTTCACGTTTAATTATTTCATCTTCCTGCACAGTGCTGCTGCAGATGTGGCAGAAGTAGCACTTTTCTTTTTGAAGTTATTACCAGCCCAGTTCCATGTGTGGGAGATACAGAAAATGCCGTGACCAAAATGATGATGTGAAACCCACAAATTATGGTAAATATGTTATGTCAGCAGATCCACAGCTCTGTGTCAACTACCCTGGACAACAGTAATTTTCACAGCTGCAGCTCAGTGTCTTCTTCAAAATATGTGTGTCGGCAGTAGCTTCCAACATTGCTGAGAGTGGTACATGAAGAAGACTTTGTGAAAGAGACAGAACCAGAGTATCTTTGTAACATATTTTATCTACCCCAGCTTCCCCGGCCAATGCCATAATTACATGTATATATTTACCCTGTTTAGCAGAGAAAAAGCAGGAGAGATTCTTAGCTTCCAGCCGAGAAGTTATTTGATTTTAATTAATTTGATTCAAGTTACACCACAGTGATTTTTTTTTTTCCCTTTGGTAGCACTTTGAGCCTCCACCTTGTCAGATGCTTACCAGATGTGCATTCTGGTGGCAGATAGGTCAGCCTGCCTCACCATCCCAAGTGCAGGTGAATGTTGTCTTGTGGAGAGTGTTGGGTTACCAATTCCTACTTTTTACAAACTGAGATCTTCTCATATCATGATATGTCTTTGTTTATCATTAGTACATTGCTTAGTGAGTATAAAATACTGGAAAATACTACAAACAGTGGTGGTTTTTTTTGCAAGAAACTGCCTGATGGATTGTTTCCTAAAAAGTATCCTGAGTGCCAGATGTAAACAGAATTGTGTAATCTTCTTTCTTGGTTAATGAGAGCTGCCTTTGGCTTCTTGGCAATATCTAAACCACTGTAGCTAATTGCCCAACAGATGAATGACTGCGAACACTCATTGCTGTATCAGGGTAAGTGTTCAGGCTCTTTTCTAGTAAGATTTCATTGTCTTCAGCAATTTTTTCCTAGTTTTCAAAATTTCTTTTACAAAAAAGGTCGAGGCAAACTCCCAGACTCTTTCTGTACTGCAGGATGAGATTCCTACATCTGTGCTCAAGCTGAGGCATTGACATTACATGTGCCTACTGATGTCTGCATGAACAGATTAACTTGAGGGACCGGAGAGTCTGAGACCATAAAACCAACTTTGCATTTTCAGTATTTTTGGACCATGGTGTTCAGTTCTGCTATCATCTAGGCTTATGAAGACACTGCATTTGAGACTGAAACATTTTCTTTATCATTCCAGTCGGCAACGTGATTAAGGCCTCCCATGTATTACAAAAGGCCTGGAAAACCAGATAGCCAGTGCACCATGTATAGAAGTGCCTTGTTGAGACAGCAGAGGGCGTTTGCCAAAATGCATCGTTTTCTTGGGGTTTTTAGGTCCAGGAGAGCTCTCTGGGAGTTATCAGCTGTTCTCATCCAAGCTGCACTTCACAGGTAGTTACTATCTACCTGTGTTAAGACCTCTGCTGAAATCTACCGCTATTTTAGAGCCTTATTTCATCCAGTTTTTAGCTGTCTTGCCTGCTGACATGCTGTGGTGTACTTTGGACCAAAAACTGGCAACGGTAACTGTGAACTCATCATTGGTTTATTCCAAAGAGGACCTCCAACACTAGAGTAAACTACATCATTAACAACACAGCGCCTATCTTGTAATATGACTGTCTAATTATGTCTTTTATTATATCACCTTCACCTGGAGATTTCAAAGGGCTCTGTAAAAGTACCATTATCCTAATTTTATCTACAGGTAGAGCAGAGCATGCATGAGATGCAGTCAGATGCCCATGAGCTCAACAGCAGGTAAGGAGAATGCCAGCATCTGGAACCTCTCCTGCAGCCAACAGCCAGACCCAACTTGTGCTGGTCCAGCTTCCTGCAGTTTCCAAGACATTAAAAAACTAAAGCAAAACAAAACATAAAATAATTAGGAGAATCCAATCCATGCATGGGAAGTGCCCAAAAGAGAAGTAAACAGTGATGATCTGACATATGAAACAGATACAACACACCTGGAGGCAGCACAAGCTTCTCATACTACTCACCAGCACAC